TGTTTTGTTTTATACTTGTGTGTGCTTATGTGGGCATTTTAGCTTGTCTATTAAAAATTGACCAGTTAAAGAATAAAAATTCGCAATTGTCATAAAAAATATTGTAGTTTTTTTAAATTTGATTTAGGTTAATAGTTGGAAGGCAATGCTTGTAATATTTGAAATAATGTGATCAATTTGCCAAGATGGTTGGCTATTTTGTGTTTCATTTGGTAATGAATTTGTTATTACAATCGGCTATTTTATCTCATTTTTGGCTCTCTTATAAAAAAAAGTCATTTTTGACAATAACTTTCTTGTTGGTTGATGAGCTTGCCATTAGAGTTTCTGAACAACATTGAGAATCAAAGAATACAATTGAGATAAAAAAACTTTGTTCCATTTTCTTTTTGGTAAGTAGTGATTACATCAATGAACCCCGTGTACACACGGGAAGTACTAAAACCATCCTAATTTGGTGGACACACAAAAAGTACTAAATTTCACTAATGTTAGATTTTATAAATTTATTTCTAGCTTCAACTTTCTGCACACACATAAGACCCAAAAACCACTCTCTCCAACACTAGGAACAACATCACCAAACTACAAGAATTAGAAAACAGGTGGAACAAGAAAATTGAAGTGGTTTACTTTGACCTCTGGAAATAACTTCAATATCTATTTTTCACCTCTAGAAATACACCAGAAACTAAGAGAAGTCAATGTTATCCGGTCTCCGCCATCGTGGTTTACTCTGACATTGATCATTAGGGCCTCGTGTATATGGTCTTCCATTTCTCCTTAGAACAACCATGGATCATGAATCGATTTCTTCATCCCTCCAACGAAAATATTTCTTCAATTCCTACAGTTATAAAGACCAAATGTCATTGTAATGTTACCTTGGTATATTGCTTGTGTTCGAACTTCAGACATTTTGGACTGAAGTTAATTTTGGCATACTGCTTTGTGCAGTTCGAACTTCAGACATTTCGGACTGAAGTTAACCTCGGCATATTGCTTGTGCAGTTCGAATTTCAGACATTTCGGACTGAAGTTAACCTTGGTATTGCTTTGTGCAGTTCGAACTTCAGACATTTCGGACTGAAGATAACCTCGGCATATTGCTTTGTGCAGTTCGAACTTCAGACATTTCGGACTGAAGATAACCTCGGCATATTGCTTTGTGCAGTTCGAACTTCAGACATTTCGGACTGAAGTTAACCTCGGCATATTGCTTGTGCAGTTCGAACTTCAGACATTTCGGACTGAAGTTAACCTTAGCATATTACTTTGTGCAATTCGAACTTCAGACATTTCGGACTGAAAATAACCTCGGCATATTACTTGTGCAGTTCGAACTTCAGACATTTCGGACTGAAGTTAACCTCGGCATATTGCTTGTGCAATTCGAACTTCAGGCATTTCGGACTGAAGTTAACCTTAGCATATCGCTTTGTGCAGTTCGAACTTCAGACATTTCGGACTGAAGTTAACCTCGGCATATTGCTTGTGCAATTCGAACTTCAGGCATTTCGGACTGAAGTTAACCTTAGCATATCGCTTTGTGCAGTTCGAACTTCAGACATTTCGGACTGAAGTTAACCTCGGCATATTGCTTGTGCAATTCGAACTTCAGGCATTTCGGACTGAAGTTAACCTTAGCATATCGCTTTGTGCAGTTCGAACTTCAGACATTTCGGACTGAAGTTAACCTCGGCATATTGCCTGTGCAGTTCGAACTTCAGACATTTCGAACTGAAGTTAACCTCGGCATATTGCCTGTGCAGTTCGAACTTCAGACATTTCGAACTGAAGTTAACCTCGACATATTGCTTGTGTATAGAACTCACAAAAGAAATTATCCATGAAAAAGATTTAGTCTTCTTTTTTCATGAAAAATAATTAGTCTGCACATGGTGTGATTGTGAGACAGAGAAGCTAATCCAAAATTTGATTAATCTAATATCTCCGGTTATCATTAATAGAAAAAATTTAGCACCGAAAATAAGAGGATTTACAAGCATCACCATGGAGATCGAAAGACAACTGCCATGGGTCAGAAGTTCAGCAACAAGCAAATTTCAGTCTCGTGTCTGAAGTTTGCCCACTGCAGTGCAAACTTTAGACCTCCCGGTCTGAAGTTTCAACAACTTCAAACATACGGATATGATATTAGGCTTGCATATAATTGAAGTTTCAACAACTTTAGACTTGTATGTCTGAAGTTAACCTTGGCATATTCATATTGCTTGTGCAGTTCGAACTTCAGACATTTCGGACTGAAGTTAACCTTAGCATATTGCTTTGTGCAGTTCGAACTTCAGACATTTCAAACTGAAGTTAACCTCGGCATATTGCTTGTGTATAGAACTCACAAAAGAAATTATCTATGAAAAAGAATTAGTCTTCTTTTTCCATGAAAAAGAATTAGTATGCACATGGTGTGATTGTGAGACAGAGAAGCTAATCCAAAATCTGGTTAATCTAATATCTCTGGTTATCATTAATAGAAATTTAGCACCAAAAATAAGAGGATTTACAAGCATCACCATGGAGATCGAAAGACAACTGCCACGGGTCTGAAGTTCAGCAGCAAGTAAATTTTAGTCTCACGTCAAACTTTAGACCTCCCGGTCTGAAGTTTCAACAACTTCAGACATACAGATATGATATTAGGCTTGCATATAATTGAAGTTTCAACAACTTCAGACTTGTATGTCTGAAGTTAACCTTGGCATATTCATATTGCTTGTGCAGTTCGATCTTCAGACATTTCGGACTGAAGTTAACCTTGGCATATTCATATTGCTTGTGCAGTTCGATCTTCAGACATTTCGGACTGAAGTTAACCTTGGCATATTGCTTTGTGCAGTTCAAACTTCAGACATTTCGCACTGAAGTTAATCTCGGCATATTGCTTGTGTATAGAACTCGCAAAAGAAATTATCCATGAAAAAGAATTAGTTTGCACTTGGTGTGATTGTGAGACAGAGAATATAATCCAAAATCTGGTTAATCTAATATCTCCGGTTATCATTAATAGAAATTTAGCACCGAAAATAAGAGGATTTACAAGCATCACCATGGAGATCGAAAGACAATTGCCATGGGTCTGAAGTGCAGCAGAAAGCAAGTTTCAGTCTCGCGTCTGAAGTTTGCCCACTGCAGTGCAAACTTTAGACCTTCCGATCTGAAGTTTCAACAACTTCAGGCATACGGATATGATATTAGGCTTGCATATAATTGAAGTTTCAACAACTTTAGACTTGTATATCTGAAGTTAACCTTGGCATATTCATATTGCTTGTGTAGTTCGAATTTCAGACATTTCGGACTGAAGTTAACCTTGGCATATTGCTTTGTGAAGTTCGAACTTCAAACATTTCGGACTGAAGTTAACCTTGGCATATTGCTTTGTGCAGTTCGAACTTCAGACATTTCGAACTGAAGTTAACCTCACATATTGCTTTGTACAGTTCAAACTTCAGACATTTTGGACTGAAGTTAACCTTGGTAGTCCGCAGTAGCCAACTTCAGATCCGTATGTCTGAAGTTAACCTTGACATATTGCATGTGCCATTCGAACATTAGACATTTCAGACTGAAGTCAACGTTGGCAATCGGCAGTCCGCTGTCCCCAACTTCAGATTTGTATGTCTGAAATTATCCTTGGCATATTGCTTGTGCGGTTCGAACTACATTTCAGATTGAAGTTAACCTTAACAATCTGCAGGACCCAACTTCAGATCTATATGTTTGAAGTTTGAACTATCATGCCTAACTTCAAACTCAAATGTATCAACTATATAGTGCCTAGAAAAATTCTAACCTTTTTTTAGAGTGAAATTCTCAGAATTTATATTGAAAACTTGGTTCTTATAAATGGAGACTGGAGAGACTTTTACGTAGAGCATTTCTACGTTCTTCAAGCTTCCAGTAGTTATCTTTCAACTTATTAAACTTCTTTCCCCACTGTAACCCAAACAAAAAAATCAAAAATCTATGTACATAAGCAACTAAAAATTGATAGAGAAATAGAAACCCCACCTCAAAATACTCACCAAAATGCAACAATAGTTCGAAGAAAGTTCTTCGTGAATCATTACATCTTCCGCCATAGCTATTACTTTTTCATCTCATGCTTTAGATCTGAAACCAATAATTAAGCACGAAAGTACAAAGAAAATAAAGAGAACGGAATGAGATATTGCATAAAAATAAAGAGAACGATTTAAGTTGTAGAGAAAATCATTGAGAACTAAGCTAGCGTTTGGCCATAGATTTCCAAATTTGTTTTGAAAAATCATTTGTTTTGAAAAATCTGATTTTTCAAAACATATTTCACTTTTTATTTGAAAAAACATGAAACATTATTTATACCCACAAGTTCTAAAAACTATCACAAATACCCAATAGTATCATTATCACAAACCATAACCCTGAACTTAAATAAGTTTGGTACAAAATTATCATTTTTATAATGAACTATATAAATCATTAATTACAGTGAAATCCCATTAGAAAATTACGGCTCCTAATTAAGAAGAAAAAGTTAACTGATATGAGTGTTCAGAAAGCCATTTAGCCTACAAATCAGAAGCAAAAGTAAGATGCACAAAGGATTGAGCTGATAAGGGAGCATATTCATCAAATATTTAGTTGGTCATAATAAATATGGGTTCTTTTATAAATTATAAAAGTTTGGGATAATATTTAAAAAAATTTAAAAATGTAACAATCATGTTTTGGCCCAAAATCACCAATTGAGGTGATTTGAAATTTGGGATTTGAAATTTTGCCAAAATGTGAGTAAAATTTATAGCCAAACATGTGTTTGCCAAATAAATCCCAAATTTATTTTGGCAAAACTCATGGTGAAACGGGTCTAAGTGTTGGATGGACCTACTGCGATGAAGGTCGTACAAGTTTTTGTTTATTACAAGGGTACTATCGTCCAGATATTAGTAACTTATTATAAACTGGGTACTAGTTAAATAATTTATAAAAATTGGCTACAGACTAAATGGTGGTATTAATATCGGGTACTGGTGCAATTGCCCCCGAAAGATCCAAGTCCACAGCCAAAGCCACCACCATGAAACTGAGAATCAGATGCTTGGAAACCAAAGAAACCCTAAAAATCGACATACCATCTTCTTCTTGCACTGTTCATGAACTGAAACAACGCATCTCTCAAACAATTCCATCTTCATCTTCATCGAATTCCATTCATCTTTCCCTCAACGGGAAGGACGACCTTTCGCCCTCTGAAGAGACGCTTCAATCCTTTGGTATTACCTCCGGTGATCTTATTTTCTTCACTTTCAAGCCAAATGGGTTTCCAATTTCAACTGAAACCCATATCCCCAAATCTCAACCCATCAAATTGGACACCCAAATTATCCAAAAACTTGAGACAGTCAAAAAATTGGATACCCAAATTATCCAGGAACCTGAGACCGTAAATTCGATACTCGAGGGAGAGGAAGCAGAAGCGGAAGCGGAGGAGTTTATGGAGGTCGATTACAGTGACATGACAGTTGATGTGAATTTGACCAAGTCGTTTTCTGTACCTGGATTTTTAAGGAAAGTGTTCACAGAAGAGCTGAGTGATGACGGCGGCCGTGACCATAAGCTGTTGGTGGTTGCGCTTCACGCTGTTTTTCTAGAATCTGGGTTTGTTCTCCTTGACCCTGTTTCCTTTACTCAACTTAGTGGGTCCCAGTTTTGGAAATGTTATTGGCCTTGGGGTGCTTCGCCTTCCCGAATGACTCTGTTTTACACCCTGCCTGAGGCGTCTATTCATCATACTGTTGAATTGAAGTTTCATTGTTTAGGGAAGTTTTTTATTGCTCACGGGTCATTGTCTGGTGGTGTTTTCACACGTAGAGTTACATTGAATGAGGATCAGTTGGTTCCGTTCTTGAATGTTGTGTGGGCTAATTGTGGATTACATGAGGAAGTAAACAATGGGGCTTTTCCTGAGAGGGAAGTGTTTCAGTTTTGGAGGAATGTGAAGGATGGGCTTGTGCTGCCATTGCTGATTGATTTGTGTGACAAGTCTGGTTTGGAACTTCCACCATGCTTTATGCGACTTCCCACTGACCTTAAGTTGAAGATTTTGGAGTTGCTTCCCGGTGTTGAGATAGCCAAAGTGAGTTGTCTGAGCTCTGAATTGCGATATTTGGCTTCGAGTGATGATCTGTGGAAGAAGAAGTATGTGGAGCAGTTTGGTGATGCCAACACGCCTGGAGGAGGGGAAGGGGGGCATTGGAAAGACAAGTTTGTCAAGTCTTGGGAGAGTAGGAAGAGAAGGAAGATGATAAGCAGAAGAAGAGTGGTTGATCCCCTGAGATTTTTAGGGGGTCCTAATCCATTCCCAGGACCTTGGAGGCCACATATAATTGGTGGAGATTATGATCTATTGCCTCCACAGTTTGATAATACCCCACCTTCTAGATTGCTCTGTCCATTGCGAAACCATGTACCTCGTTGTCATCTTGGAGGACATAGGAGCAACTTCACTTGATTATGGCCTCTATCGTCTGGAGTCTTAAGCAGAAAGCTGTATAGTTTGTGTCTGTTATAAGTAGTGTTATAGGTTCTAATTACAAGTTTTTGTTAATCTGGTACATCAGGGAGCTATCTCTTTATGTTTCTTTTGGAACTTTTGTCTTTTTGGTGTTTGATGAATGACTTTTAGACAGCTCTGTTAGTTCTATTTCTTTTTTCTGTTTGTGGGAAACGTGAATGAATCGGGCAGATTCGTTTGATATTTTTGGGTTTGTGTTTTGGCTTTGAATTTGCTTCCAAGCACCTATTGCTGGCTGATAGTTGTGTACAATATTAGTAGCGATAGTGAGGTTGTTCTGACTAATGAAATCCACATTCTCCACAAGTCATGACTCTACCTTTTCAACACTCCTTGCTTTTTAACTACCTCATCTTTCTGCCTATCCCTCTTAATTTTAGGCATGCCAGCCAACTTCACCAACTATGGGGGATCCATTGCTTGTGATGGGTCAATTTTCCAAAAACTTTCTCCTCTAACATGTTGGAGCTTGTGTCTATAAGTAAGTAAAAATTCCTCCTTACTGTACCACCAGTGCATCTCTGTCAAAGGATCACCCCTGTTGTGAAGTACAACTCTAATAGCATGAGGACATGGGATTCCTGTAAGGTCTCATGCCCTGCAGGTGCACTTCTTCATGCTTAAGTTGACACAATGCTTGTCAGACCTTTCACTATCTTCATATCCTCCTTCTTTATTGGAATTAACTTTACACACTTGAGCAATCTCCATGAATTCATTGTAGAGTTCTAGGCTCTTTGGACTAAACTCATTGCTCTATGTCCTAGCTTCAGCTTCATGTTTTGTCAACATGTTCATAACTTTGAGTCTAATGTCTTCCAACATCTTAATGATTGGTTTTTTCCTTGCTTTCAAAATCCATGAATTGAAGGATTCAGTCAGATTGTTATCAACTAACTGATTCTTGCAAACTGTATCCAGATAAGCTCTGCACCAAGACTGTGGTGGGTACTTTAATAAGATCTCTGTTGTATTCTTGTTCAACTCTCCTAGCTTGCTTAGTTGGTCTTTGAAGTCTTCTTCATAAGTACACCATGAACACCACCAAAGCAGTTTTTTTGCTTTCCCCAGTGCGCTCACTAGATGTGTGTACAGATTCCGAAGGGGCTCCTTCAGCTCAAGCACTATAATCTGCACAGACAACTCACGTGCTGTACGGAAAACTCACGTGTTGTACGGAAAACTCATGTGCTATAGTATCAATATATGTATCCGCATAGAAAACTCACGTGCTATAATAAGCCTATAAGGCCTGCTGCAAGCGGGCAACCCCGATCCACATAATAATAAAGTATATAAAGCCAATATGGCATGCTGCGGCGTGCAGCCCGATCTAAAAATTATCCTCACAATCAGGCCCTCGACCTCACTCAGTCATCAATCTCTCCAGTCTCTCAGGCTCACAATGTCATGAAACTAGCCCAAAATGATGATATGATGAATCAATAAATAGCAACGGAGACTGAGAAATAATATGAAATGAATGAACATGACTGATTATGAAATATTATTTTAAACAAATAATTGAACAGCAATATGACCTATATGGGTCTCACTAATACTGCACATACCCTCAACATAATTTTTAATATGATTCTTAGCTCAATTTCTTTAACACATAAAACTGCATAGAAAATACCAAGATTATTTGACTACAAAGTTTCAGGGAAACAATTATGTCAAAATTTCTATGGTGCACGCCCACACACCCAACACCTAGCATGTGCGCCACCTCCCAACAATTCACATAATACATATATTCAGGGACACCTAGCATGTGCGCCACCTCCCAACAATTCACATAATACATATATTCAGGGTTCATACCCTCAACTCCAAGATTAGAAGAGTTACTTACCTCGAACAAGTCGAATACAATATCGAGCAAGCTAAACAATGCTTCAGAAATTTCATTTTGCGCGTAACAACTTCAGAACTGCTCAAATCTAGTCACAATTAATTTGATTTAGTCAACCCAAATCATAGGAATTTATTCCATATCAAAATACTAATTTTTCCACAAAATCCGAAATTACACTCAAAAATTGCCCATGGGGCCCACGTATCGTAATCCGATAAATCTCACAAAATTTGGACGCTCGTCCAACCACGAGTCCAACCATACAAATTTTACCAAATTCCGACATCAACTCGACTCTCAAATCTTCAATTAAAGTCATTGAATTTTGTTTTACCATTTTCAACCCAATCTTTACCCATTTGAACTCAACAATCTTTCCATAAATATTATTTATATGTATAAATAATACTATTACACCCAAGAATCATACTCTTAATCACCCATCTTTACCCAAACTCGAAATTGAAGACTAGGGGTTAGAACCTTACCTCTTGGGTGAAGATCTTGTGATATTTCCTTGTTGGATTTCAAAGCTTGAACAAGATCTTGATGAAAAAAGCACTTGAGCTTCTTCCTCTCTCTAGAACACTCTCTCTTCTCTCTAAAAAATGTCAGAGTTTTGCTCCAAAATGAGTCCCAAAGCCTATTTATTAAAATGGGGTCGTGTTATGAAAATAAAAAATTTAACCCTCCGAAAGCAGGTCTACGGTGGCATAATGTACCGCAGAATGGGTATGCGGGTCGCAAAATGGTCGCAAAAATCAGTGCCCAGAACTAGGCTGTTCTGGTCCAGTTTGCGGTAATCTCATTTTTCCATCGTTTGGTTATTTGGTCATAACCTTTTGTAGGAATGTCTAAATGACGAACGGTTTGAAGCGTTAGAAACTAAACTCAAAGATTTTTCATTTGATAGTTAATACACCATATAACACTTCGTATCATGAGAATTATGCTCATTTGAAATTAGGTCTTGTGCGAACTCACTTGAAACTTTAGTCTATTATGAAATTTCTAACTTCTATATTCGATGCCGAAACCTATCGAATCAAGTCCGATTGACCTCAAATTTTTCACATAAGTCATAAATGACATAACAGACCTATTTCAATTTCCTGAATCGGATTCCGACCCCGATATCAAACTTTTCAAAAATTTAAATTTCGCCATTTCAAGCCTAATTCTACTACGGACCTCTAAAATATTTTCCGGACACTCTCCCAAGTCCATAATCACTATACGGAGCTTTTAGAATCATCAAAACTCTATTCCGGGTTCGTTTACACATAAGTCAATATCCGATCAACTATTTCAACTTATGCTTCCAACATGAAATAGCCATTCTTTTGAAATTAATATTCTTACATTTATTCTTTGCCATTTGTTTGTTTCGAAAATATATATATATAAACTCGTTTTTTTGTGAATGATACTTTCCATATGTATTTTGATGACTTTTTTGCTTAACAATCCTATTTGTTGACTAATACTTTGAAATCATTAGTTATTCATATTGTATATTCTAAGATAGTTCTTTCCCATCTTTATCCATTACTTTAAACAAGTTTTATTTATATTTTATTAATTTATTCAGTGCTAATCAAATCTTTTCAAGTTTGTTCTTATGATTGAAATTTATTTAGTTAATTTATAAATACTTTACTTATGGCTACATGTTTGGTACATATATTGAATCATCAAAAGACATAATTTTCATATACTTTCAAACTTGATATGCATTCTATTACATAGGTATTTGTGTTTGGACATGTGATATTCATATTCAGTTACTCTTCATTTCAAATCATTTTTTTAAATATAATTCTTGTAAATATTGAATCTTTTTTTTCTTACTCTATTTACTATATAAAACTACTTTAAGATAATTCTTCCCCCACTTTTGGCCAATCACTTTAAAGGTAAGTTTTCTTTTCTTACACTTTAGCCTCTCACTCAAAATAATTTACCCTCAGACATAACATAAATTCTTTAAGTGCAATTCCTTTCGTATTATTTAACTTATACTAAAATACCATTCTTTAATATCCTTTTTATACCTTCACATACTACATTTTGTTGCGCATATATTTTGTCAAATATTTTTGCTATTCTTATCTAGAACTCACTTTATATTTGGCTTATCTTTTGGAATACGATTCTGTAATGACCCGGCCAGTCGTTTGGAGTGTTATAGTCCCGTTCCCCCGTTTATTGTTTATCTTATGCTCATTTATTGTTATATGACTTTTTGGGATAGTCAGTATGGTTCCAGAGATGTTTCGGAATGAGATAAGACACTTAGTCTCAAGGTTGAAAGCATAAGTTGAAAATGTTGACCAGATGTGGACTTAGGTGTAAACGACTTCGGAATGGAGTTTTGATGGTTCTGATAGCTCCATTGGGTGATTTTGGACTTAGGGAGTATCCGGATAGTGATTTGGAGGCCCGTACTTGATTTAGGCTTAAAATGGCGAAAGTTGGAAAATTAGAAATTTTAAAAATTTATAAGTTTGACCGAAAGTTGACTTTGTGGTTACCGGGCTTAGATTTTGGTTCCGGAAGTTAGGGTAGGTCCGTTTTTGTCACGACCCAAAAATCTTTGAAAGGTCGTGATGGTGCCGGACACGACTGTCAGGCAAGCCAACACCAATAACTAGTAAATTCTTATTTTAATATTTTTGATATCATAAATTTACTTTAATTTATCTAGTAAAAGATGAATTTACAGAATAAAATAATAATGTTTTACAAATTTCAATACTGAACATCCCATAATCATACCAGAACCCAGTATCACAAGTGCATGACCCTTTTCTAGAAATTTAAAATAAAATACAATAACTGTCCGGAATACACCTTGGACAGGAAAGAAAATACAATACTCTGAAGGAGACTCTGCTGGTTGTGGTGCGTCGTACAGAATGCAACTCACCTAAGTCCCCGTCATAATCGCGTCTCTGCGCCCACGAGGCCGCTAAACATATGTGTACCTGCACAAAAATATGCAGCAAGTGTAGTATGAGTATGTAAATCAATGCATACCCAGTAAGTATCCCGCCTAACCCCGAAGAAGTAGTGACGAGGGGTCGACTTCAACAATTACTAATGGTCCAATAATATCAGGTACAGTAAAAAAGTGAATGAATATGAGATAGAGTAAATATATAAAATAAATAAGTATAAAATACATAGTACAATTTTTTCCTCTTTACAATTTAGTCAAGCTCTCAACTAGCAAGTTTCCTCCGTAACCGGAGCATGTATATAGATATCGTGGATTTCAGAGGTTGTCATAATCCANGAGGGTCGAACGGCGCGAACCATA